TGGATTATGCTACATAAACAGGGCGAAAATCCAGGGATAAGCTTCCAGACACACTTGGCAGAAAAACATTGGGGGGTGGGAATTTTAAAAGAAAAACCCACGAGTCCGGAGCCGCCACATGTATCTGTTTTTTATGCCTGGATTTTCGCCCTGTTTGAGTAGCTTTATCCTTATTGGATTATGCTACATAAACAGGGCGAAAATCCAGGGATAAGCTTCCAGACACACTTGGCAGAAAAACATTGGGGGGTGGGAATTTTAAAAGAAAAACCCACGAGTCCGGAGCCGCCACATAAATATTATTTTATTTTTTTAATGAACAAGAACTTGAGGTATGAGTTGGATTTACAGGTAGTGCACATTCTTTTTGTGCATGGTGCTTACTTGGAAAAAATTTAAAAATTTCTAAAAAGATGGAGATGAAAGTCAATAAATTTTATAAAATAAATAACTTTTATTAACTTTTCCACTACACATTTCATGAATTTTCATCAAAATTTGCGAAATTTTTTTATAAAAAAACTTTGTCAAACAACCCTTCAATGGTGGATACACAATTCTTTGTATTTCATTAAATTCTATTGTGACAGTAATTTCAATTTATATCTTATATCTTTATCGGTAGTCTGAAGATGAAGTCTGCTTCTAACAAAGACTCTCATTGAGAAAGTTACGATATATTTTGAATATCAAATAGGCACATGAATCAGATCGGCGTGAATTTGAGACTTCATGCATCCCTTGACGAATACATCACAATCTTTTTCATTTAGAGTAATCATATTTAGGAAAAGTCTATTAGTACATAATGTTTCTACATAATGGTACACATAATACTCACATGGGGTGGGACCCATGTGTGGATCCCACCTCACATGGGTCCCACCCCCATGTGAGTATTATGTCAACCCCTATGTTATGCTCTATGTACCTTAAGCAAGATTCATGATTCTAGGGCAACTATAAAAGCCTAAACTCGTCCTAGACTAGGTTTTAAGCATTCTTAGAGAGAAAAAGTCGATTTTGAAGAGTAAGGAGAAGAGCTTGAGCTAGGGTTTCACATCAAGATCAAGATTCAAGCCTTAAACTTCTACTTTTTGGTGATGTTTTCTTTCTATCGTTTTTATTGTTGTTTTAATTTCATTATG